AAAAAAAACAACAATTTTAAGATAATTATTTGTATTTAGCAAATGGATTATAAAAATAAGAGGAACGTTTGATATAAAATTTATTATAAAAAAAATTCAACTGTAGCATTTAACAAAACTTTCTAACGAAAACATTTGAAGCAGTGCCTAACGTAACAATAACGTGACTACTGAGCTACAAAACCCAAACGAACATTGTCTCTATATATCACTTCGGCTTGTACTCTTGCCCTGTTTTCTCTTTATAGAGTTTCTTCAAATCGAGAAGTTTCTGAATGGCAGCTTTCGAAGCGTCCTTAAAAAGTACGTTTTGTTAGAAAGGAGAGAAAGGCTCGATTCAAGATGAAACAGCACGAAAAATTCTCACAGATTTCGCATCCTTTTGCTTCTCCTGCCGGACCAGATCACCCTGTGCCTTTATCTCTTCATAAAGCGCAGATTCTTCGGGAGCAGTTTTCTGTGGTGATGACGGAGTTTCAGCAGGAGGTTGTCCTGGTTTGTATGGATGACCAGTCACCTCTTCGTACTTTTTCTTCAACTCCAGTACCAGATCACCCTGTGCCTTTATCTCTTCATAAAGCGCAGATTCTTCGGAAGCAGTTTTCTGTGGCGATGACGGAGTTTCAGCAGGAGGTTGTCCTGGTTTGTATGGATAACCAGTCACCTCTTCGTACTTTTTCTTCAACTCCAGTAATTTGGCAATAGCTGCCTTGGCAGCTTCCTGAAAGCAACAGCCGTCCGTTGTGATGGAATTGATCAAAATCTATGCAAATAAGTGAACGACACAAAAATAAAAAATACTGGCCGACTTGGCGTCCTTAGCTTTTTCTTGCCGAACAAGATTTCCCTGGGCTTCGATTTCTGAGTAGAGAGAAAGCGCATCACCACCACTGGCAATTGAGGGTGATTTCAAAGAAGCCACCTGCTGACCAGGCTTGTAGTCCTGCCCGGTTTGCTCTTTGTACTGCTTTTTCAAATCAAGCAACTTTGCAATGGCTGCTTTAGCAGACTCCTGTAACACATAATGGCTGAGACAGAATAATACAAAATCATTTGGCAATAGCTGCCTTGGCAGCTTCCTGAAAGCAACAGCCGTCCGTTGTTATGGAATTGATCAAAATCTATGCAAATAAGTGAGCGGAACAAAAATAAAAAATACTCGCCGATTTGGCGTCTTTAGCTTTTTCTTGCCGAACAAGATTTCCCTGGGCTTCGATTTCTGAGTAGAGAGAAAGCGCATCACCACCACTGGCAATTGAGGGTGATTTCAAAGAAGCCACCTGCTGACCAGGCTTGTAGTCCTGCCCGGTTTGCTCTTTGTACTGCTTTTTCAAATCAAGCAACTTTGCAATGGCTGCTTTAGCAGACTCCTGTAACACATAATGGCTGAGACAGAATAATACAAAATCATGTGTTTCAATTTTGCTCTCTTTTTTCCGTCTGCTTATGAAAGCTTTCCAGCCAAAAATGCCGGAATGATGAACTCTTCCATTGGCATTTTCGCCTTCTCAACTCAAAGGCTCATAACATTTCATCTTGAGCCTCTAACTGAGAGCATCAGATGCGGTAGCGGCGAGAACAGAGAATGCCGCTGCGAGACTTTGCCCACGTTTATGTTCCTGCCCCATTTTTTTCTTTATAATTGCTCTTCAATTGCAGTAATTTAGCTATGGCCGCAAGACCGTAATTTGTAAATAGAATGATTAGTCCGAGGATTGGCTGGCAAAGTCTCAAATAAGTAAAGAACACCTACCGATTTAGGATCCTTCGCTTTTTCCTTCCGGACGAGCTCACCTTGAGCCTCTATCTCAGCGTAAAGATTAGATGGCTCAACAATGGCACTAGAAGGAGCACTAGCTGATGGCGCTCCGGTCGCAGGAGGTTGGCCTGCTTTGTAATCCTGACCAGTTTTTTCCTTGTACTCCTTTTTAAGCTCAAGCAGGGTTGCTATGGCGGCTTTGGACGCCTCCTTAAACACCGAAAGAGTAAATTACATCTTTACCTAACTATCGTTGCTCGCAAGTATCTGTTCACATCAATCATAAAGTAATTGATGTAAGCACATCCAGAGGATCCAGAGGGAAGGCTACGCGGATTTTATGAAAAAAACTGTAAATCTTATAACTGACCGACTTGGCGTCCTTGGCCTTTTCACTTCGAACAAGTTCCCCTTGTGCCTCAATTTTCATATAGAGAGCAAGGCTCTCGTTGGCGGTTGATCCGGCTACCATGTTTGATGGCTCTGGAACTTGTCCGGGTTTGTATTCTTTACCAGTGACTTCACTGTACTGCTTTTTCAATTCCAGCAATTTTTGAACTGCCAGTTTCGTAGATTCAGCCTGAAATAAGAAGGAAGTTACAACAAAACACGAGAGAAGTTCTAGAAAACAAAAGAAAGTGAGTATTGCACCCTATGCAATCACGCGTGAAGGCTGACGCATTGGACCTTAGGGTCTTTAAAATTACATAAAAGATGGAGTAACAACCATATATGTATTGGAAACTTGCCTTCGGGTCCTTACTCTTGAGATCACGCACTGTATTTCCTTGCGCTTCAATTAATTTGTAAAGCTCAAGAGCATCCCTTGGCTTTCCAGCAGAGGCTGCAACTACGCTGCTCTGAAAACAAACATCAGGCGGTTGGTATCTCCGATGAATAAAATGCTTGATAACTGACATAGTAAATAAAGATTTTTATAGCAACAGTGACTTAACAGAAACATCAGAAGTACAGATGTACTTCGCGCGAAAATTATGCGCCCTCGAGAAAGAAACAAATTTGAAATTCATCATTTTTCGCTGAAGAGGAAGTAAACCAACCGGTTTGGGTTTATTCACTGGTTCTTTCACGTGACCATCAGGAATGTAGATCAGCAGAAGCGGCGACTCAGTACCGCTATAATTCGTGAATCTGGACTTTTTAGGTTATAGAAGCCAATCCTTCTAAAGCACTACTTACCTAAATTCGCTCTTTGATTGGTAGTCATGATCGCAAATGTAGAATCCTTTTCTTTGTAATTGGATGATATCGCCTTTCCTAACGCTGCGTAGCGCTGGTTCTCCTAGCATTTTTGTATAGTGCTAAATTATTGGAATAGAATTTAAATTGTTCAAAAAATAACACGTGTAACCAACCACGGATTCGTAGTTGATAAAGTTTTTCCAGTCCTCTTCTTTACCAACAACAGCCTTGCTAATAATATGATCATACTCGATTGCAACTACTGGAATGCATGCAGCACTAGGTATATCGGCTTCAGCAATCCACGTCACCTTCATTGTCTTTTTGTAATCCTAAAAAGGGATCGCTGTAAAAACTTATTTGACTGAAACACCAATTCACCTGTGAACTCTAACTACGGCGTCTGACAAGAAAAAAAAAGCCAACCTGATTTGCGAGGTCTAAGACTGCATGAATCTCGGATACAGTCTCATTCTTTTTATTAACAGAGACGATCTTAATGTTGCCCCAATTAACAAAAGTAACAGTGTCTCCAGACTTCATCTCCTGTGCGTCCACTTGTTCCACTAACAGCTTCGCACTGTGCCAAATAGTCTTCTTTCCAACGTCCGCATTCTAAAAGTTGTCCAGAATGGAAAATTCACTTAAAAGTAGAAATGAATGAATAAAGAGACAGGGAAGAAACAGGTTCATGTACTATTAGTCTGGAAAGGGCAGCGTACTCGAACGCAGACTACAAGAACTGCACAATAAAAGTTAAATTCAATATTTACGATTAGTCAGACTGCTGATTATTAGAGAATAGAATTGTTTCATACCTACCATTATTGCTCATAACCAAGCCAATAAACAAATAATCAAATTCTGAACAATTACTTTTGGGTGTAGAGGAACTTCCGCATCCTGGACTACTACTGGTGTGGAGATGAACACAGGTACAATTGCTGTCGTTTCGAGAGCTGTATACCTAAAATGAGAACATGGAATTGACTGCGAAAATAGCATCAGCCTATAAGCTTTACGTACCTCGGTGCTACAGGATCTATTACTTTTTTGTTGAAAGACCATATCTTATCCCATTCCATCATGACAACCGATCTTGAGCCGCCCTGAGCTATAATGAACTGACGCAAACCTTCAACCGTCATTCCTCGTCGCATCACGCCACGCACTGTAGGGAAGCGGGGATCGTCCCTGCATAACTCAAGGCTTATTGCGCGTCAACCAAGCTATGTGAAACTACTTACCAGCCTTCGACTAGCCCCTCGTTGACAAACCATGTCAGCTTGCGTTTACTCATCACTGTATTTGTCATATTCAAGCGAGCATAGGACCAAATGAATGGTTTGCGTAGACCGAGAGCATCGCAAATGAAGTAGTACTGATCATCTCTGAAATCTCACACTATCCTGCCGTCACTATAAGTGAAACGAACAGGACGTAGGCATCTACCACACCTGTCAGTGTATTCAGTCGTACGAAGAGCATGGGTAACTCCTTCAACACTATCCACAATAGGGCAAGCAAAGTCATAGGTTGGATAGACCCTTGAAATAAAGTGTAGAGATTGGAATGAACACATACGATCTTGACATAAGTAGCAGCATTGACCACGGACGAATTTGAAGGTATTTTGGAAAAAAAAGAAAGGTAAAATCATCCTACTTGTACTTCATCCCGGTACGGACATGCTCTTCCGGTTTACACCTGAAACTCATCACTCATGAATATTTCGGAAAAGGAAAACCACGAAATCCGCGAAGCTTAGACACAAACCGATAAATAGTTGGATCTCTCATTGCACCGTTGTTGGACTGCATGTCAATTTTAATACGAACGCAACACTGTAAACCTCGTTCAGTTCCCTTTTTCATCTCCTCCCACAACGAGAGATTTGCTTCAGGAGCTGGAATATTGAGGTCACAGGAAATAGTGAATGAGATAAGGAACATTCCTTTCAAAACGAACGTATTGTTTTCAAAGCAAGCTAATTTTGCTCATAAACTAACATAGACTTCGATTTTTGCTTTCAACTCGTTCTTCGCGCTCCTTTCGCATTGTTTCCGTGTCTGTGTCATCCACATATGCTTTACCTTCCCGAAGGAGCTTCTCGCACATTTGCAACATCAACTCAAAGTAGTCGGACGAATGAGTCCATCGATCAGGAATAATATTTAACATAGCTAGATCTTCTTTTATCACCTTAAGAGCTTTTTATACACATATGTACGAAGATAACCCTTTCAGTAAAACGAACCTTCTCAAAATGAGCGTTCTCTTTAGCAGGATTCGTGTCATCGAATCGCATTATCAGCTGGCCTTCGAAAGTTTGTTGGTAATACTGATTCAATAGAGCGGCTTTGGCGTGTCCAATATGCAGATATCTGGGATATTCCGAATTTAGCCATGGATTGACAGCCAAGTGAGGTAAAACTTCATACCCGCTAGCCTCAGGGGGAAATCGCACCACCACTTTTCCTTTCTCAGCACCCGGCAACTCAACGAATTTTCCCTCGTCCCGCTGTTTCTCTTTCGATAAAGGCTGGAAAAGTAAAATCAAACGGTTGTTAATGGCATAAGGCAACTGTAATTGCTCGATTACTCCACATTACCTTCGAGATTTTCGCATTGGTGAACTTTCCAACCATCATATGTGCCACGATAAATCGTTGATCTTCAACAATAGCGTTGAGCAATGCAGAAAACTTCTCTTGCAACTGTATGAAAAACACTGCTCCGACCAAAGTCACAAGCTTCAGAGGTAGGAGGCATACCTGGGGATTTTTGATTATAAGGCTCCATAGGGCAACGTCACCAACAGTTACACGTTTTTCAAAAAGTGTTCCAGATTTACTAAACTGCACCGCAGACAGCACCTCCTCGTCTACCAAGAAGCCATCAACTACCTTTTCACATAACGTCAGCACCTCATCGATCTGAAACTCAACCACTGAAAAAGATTTTGGGGTCGTAAACTTTTAAGCAGTGCTTAGTCTTTCAAATTATTGGTTTGAACAAAGCACTATGTAAACATGAGATTGACCCACCTTAGCGATCTCAAAACAAGTAGATCCGGTGAACTCCGGTAATCCAAGGCTCTGCGCAACAATTCTTGCAATCGTTACATCATTGCTTATGAGGGAACCGTCCCTAGAACAGAGTTCTAAAACTCCAAGTACTTAGCTTCCGTAATAGTAAACGAGAACTGCGAAGTGACTAGCAGCGAGCACGCCGATTTCGGAGCGTTTCCTTGGTAAAATATTTGTTTGTGAACCCTAGGTCCCAACTGATCAGATCAGCGTTTGTACAGTTTACCAGCACTGCATCAGTACGAAATGTAGAGATGGCTTTAAAGATCATTGGTTGTAACCTACATATTCATCCCAACCGGTTCTTTTTCGTTGAAGGCAATGGAGAGACAAGGGTTATAGCCTCCGAAAGCAATAGCAAGCGCGGCAGCGTAAGGAACTTCCTTCTGCTTGGCATTTATTACAGGCTGCTGCTTTACCGCGACCATTGTGTACCTGAAATGAGTACTTTGAGAATGATCTGAAACAAATCAACGTAAATGAAACCACTTATACAAAATTGGTAATAAAATAGTCCTCCACCCAAAAGTTGGTGTAATTAAAATGTTGTGTCTGCAATTGCGCCTGAACAGAATAAGTCANGAAATGAGTACTTTGAGAATGATCTGAGACAAATCAACGTAAATGAAACCACTTATACAAAATTGGTAATAAAATAGTCCTCCACCCAAAAGTTGGTGTAATTAAAATGTTGTGTCTGCAATTGCGCCTGAACAGAATAAGTCACGTCCAATGTTGTTAAGCGTTAATTTTTTTGAAATTGTTTTTCATTGTCGGAGTTGTAGGTTATTGTTCTCTTCGGTTGATGTTTCTGTTTGAAAACTCTGCCAACCTTGAATACTGGGGGAGGCCAAACTGCAAATAGTTAACTGTAGTTCGAGCGCAATTTAAGACTTTGCACAGCGAATTTCGTTGTGTTCTTTCTTTCTGTCAGTGCTTATACGCATCATCAGTAGTACTGGTCAGATCATTTCAGATATCACAGTGATGATCGATCCTCTCTTACGAGTGTCTGGTGTTAATAGTGGTGTAGGCGTGGTAACATCGTCGGGCTCGTCGTCTGATCTGTTCCTTCAGCTTCACTATTGCTCAACATTTCTCAAGGCCAAGAAGCGGGTAGTCATAGTTAGCAGTAATTTGGCTGAATCCAACTATAGGTATGTTGCAGTTTGATCTAGTAGGAACGATTGTCTTGAGAAAAGTGAGCATTTACGTTTTAGGGTCATATTCAGCAAGTTAGCAATTCGCTGGGATCCTTCGCTGATCTCTTTCCTCGATATGGATAACATATTGGGCGACCAACTTCATATCGAAGAAGAAGGTACCGTCAAAAGGCTGATCGAGGTAGCCTTTTGAAATGAATGGTTAATTTTAGCTATTATATGTTGTGAAGACGGCTGCTTATTTGCTTAATCGGATATTTAAAACAATAGGCAATTTCATTTTCTTATCCAGTTAGACCTTTTACTACTTCTAAGGTAGAAATATCCTCGCTGTATGGTTGAATGGGTTGAATTTGTTTGCGTTGATAGCAACTATCACTTTCAATTTATTGGGGTCTTTTTAATGCTCTCTATGCAAAAAAATCTGGTACATGTGTAGGCCTACTAACGTTGACCTATATGCTTTCGAGGTGAAATGCGCAGTGGGACCATTCGATTTTCCCGCTAAGCTCATCAGGTAGTGAAAGAATTCGAAGAAAAATTTGCAGCGATAAACCATGTTCGTGGTTAGTGGCATAGTTTGTAATGTTTATTTTAATACCAAAGAGTCTCCAGCAGTCCGTAATGGAGTGCTTCAATCGCCAGCTTCATGAGTAGATGAAGCAAAGCTAGCTTAGGTCGTAATGGCCTTTCCCATTTGTCAGATTTGTTGACGATCATTTATGTTAAAGAAGAGTTGGGTATTTGGCAGAGCATGGTTTTACGCGAGCAGCAAGCAGGAATTTCAGCAGGAATTAAAATCAATTTGGAGCACCTTGTTTGCTTTTAGGTGGTACACAATTGAATGTGTTATGCAACTTTAAGCTATTCAGGGATGATCGTATTGTTGGGCGCACTTCTCGAAATATCTTTTATTGAAATTATGCCCTCAGTGAACCCCATAGATAAGCGTCTGAGCGTGGCGATTACCCTGATTTTTCTGTGACAAACGACTTTTATTTGTGATGACATTTTACTAAGAAATGCTTTCAGGCGTTGGGTTCCTGTAATCAACCAGATCTTATCGTTTTTGATGATGTTTCTGCTCTGGAAAGGCTAAATATGCGGGCATCCGCAGTTGTGTATCTGCTATATGAACTCTACAACCGGTAAGTGCTGTAGGTCAAATTTAGGTGATTAATTTGATTTTCATTACTGTTTTAGTTTAGAACCATCTGGATTGTTGTTAGCTTTGTTCGCTATGAAAACCAAAGCATTCTCTATAATGGTTAGCAAAGCTGATTTTATAATTGAACTTACTCCTGTTGGTTCGGGATTTGGCAAGGATGTTACCGGACAGGTAAGCAGTTAAGAAACTATGTATACTGTAGCATCCAGCTGCAGAAAAATTTCTCTGTGCGTTTATTAAACTGACAGTGAACCCCTTGACCGTAATATTATCAGATTGCCCATTTTCAGATGATGGTTAATGTTCGAGGAGCTACATCAACGCCTGATAACTTCGAACTGCTTTACTTTACTGGAGAGCGATCGATTAAGGGTTTTTATCCCGGAGGAATCTCATTTCTGAATCTATAAATAAAAATATTTGTACTTGGGAAAGTCCTCAATTTTCGTCAACGCGTTGCTTTCGCAATTTTTCCTCTTTCGTCAGCTGCCATTATGATTGCTGCAGTTATGACTAGAATAGTTGAATTTGAGTTATAATTTGGCTAAATGTTTTGATAGCAAATGCGACATTCTTCCGAGATTTAGATCCTCATACGAGAGTGCTTTCAGCTTTTGCTTGGGTTAAACGTCGTCACGATGAGTAACCGCAGAAGACGGCTGAGTGACGGTCAGTTCTTAGTTATAGTGTTGTTTACGTGCTGAAGCTTGTTGATGAACAGGATATTTCATTATACGTAGCGCTGTTTTTTCTAAGTTTCTCTTTAGAAAAGAGCATTTGGAGCTGAATTTAGATTATGATGGTGAAGCCAAAAGACGGCGCGGTATGCCTGAATATGACGAAGTCGAGCGCAGACTCCAAAACCTCATTATTAGAGTAGATGAGAGTGTAAGTTGAATTTTATGGGTTTTATTTTATAAGAATAAGGGCTTCAAAGTTCTCTCTTGAAGATTTGTATATTGCTCATTCGTAGCATTTGGTACATCTATCGCAGTCACCCATCCTTATTTGCTATTCCATTTTATTTTTTTCTGAATTCTATAAAGGGGTTCGAATTTTATAAAGGAGTTGAGTGGTGCATAGTGTACTTTGGCTATACAGTTGTGTAATAAAACTGTGAAGTAGAGTCCCCTTGATCACCAGCCGTTCTATAAGCCTCATGAAAGACTTTATTAGTATTTTATGGAGGATGATAACGTGTGCTAGTGTTTGGCAGATTATTTGTTGTGAAGCTATCACCGTAGAGCTGTTATTATAGATCTTGATTTTTTAAAATGTTGAATTTCAGACAGGAAGCTCTTCTCTAGAAAGTAACTTGGAAAGTTTGTGCTCATTGTTAGAATCAGATCTCGATAAGTACCGGACAAAAATTATTGAGATAGTTACCCTGTGGTAAGTCATTCACCTTATTTGATGAGCAGCTGCTTACGGTGTTATTTAGCGTTTGTCAACTGCCTGATAAGATCACTGTATATTCGACTCTCGTTGGATTACTCAATGCGAAAAACTTCAACTTTGGTGGAGAGGTATGCATCGTAGAAATTTGTACCCTTTAGTTTGCCAGAGGACCAATTTCAGATCGTGGAAAAACTGGTTTCTGACTTGCAAGAAAAGCTGGAAGCAGAAGATTTCCAGCAAGCAATGTTCATTGTAAGTTTGCTGTTTTTGAGATTAGGTACTGTGCTCTTCAATACTCTGAATTACATTTTCTCGAATATGGTCGTGATATAAGTTTTCTGTAGATTACATTTCTGTGCGACCTTGGAAATAGTCGAGTGCTCACTCTAAGTTCAATAGTGGAGTTCCTCGAAGCTCTACTGCAATGTGTTTTTGAAGAGAATGTGCCTCAGGTTCGTATGAATTGTACACAAATCGCTTTTGCTGTGTAATCAAGAGTTTTTAGGCTCGCACAGATTGGTTTGTTTATGTTGTGCTGCGTGTTTTGCCATGGATTGGTCTTGAGTTGAGCGAAAAGAAAAAGGACGAACTGGAAAATATTCTTGAAGGAGCCAGCAAGTATGTAGAAGGACGCAGAAAAGTTCATCTCAAGGTGACGAAATTTATCGATGTTTCGTCATGTTCACCACTGTATTGGGCTTTTGTTTTAGATGCTGCAAGTGTGGAGCTCGAGTTCGCCCCATGAACAGGAAGACTACTTAGATTGTTTACTTGCTCAAATAAAATCTTTACAAAGTGCAGGCTGGAAGGAAAAGCAAATCGCCAGGCACTATGTAGCATTTGATGCTGCTCTTCAAGATGCACTGCAACACAATTTGCCTAGGTTTGTTACAAATTTATGTTCGTCATATTTTCCTGAGTTCATTTCTCTTTTCCTGCTTCTCACTTACTTAGCCTTACCAGAATTTCAGTTTTTCTCCACCAATCCACAGGGAAGATTCAAACTACCCATTACCCATGGTTGTGTTCAGACTTTTCGATTACGCGGATTGTCCTGAAGACGTTGGTTTTTCATTGTACTTGATCGTTTCATTTATATCAACTACTGTGCGCCAGTAACTGAATGTTATGTCGGGCAGCCGAGGGAAACGTCGTTGTTTTTTAGTTAATCGATTAACTCCTATGTTTGTCTGCAGTTCGCGTGGACATCATAGCACTGTAAACATAGTTTTATGACATAAGCACTTCAAAATGGCTGCTTTCATAAACCGCGATTTGGCCCGCGAGCGAGCGACCGGGAACGGCGCTTGCCCCTTGTTTACGACTGAATCTTGGTCGACACCGCCGGACGAGTAGTCACTCGGCCGGCTCGCGCGCTCGCTCGCTCGCTTGCGAACTATGAAAGCGGCCAATGTTTCTTCGAGCAAGACCTTTCCCTGGATATATGCTTTCAAACCGAGTGTTTTGGAGGCTTCTCTGTTATTCTTTGATGAGTTTAGAAAAGCAGTAGTTTACTTTAGGGTACCGTACTTCCTGGAGCTCACTCTATAGAGCGATTTTTGATTGAAGAAGAACTTAACTGGATCATTGAGTTCAATGCCAGCGATAGGAAAATATGGTAAGCGTAATGGTTGAGTGCTTTCATGTTACCTTCTTTATGGTTTTGATAGATTGCACGAAGATTGTCAAAGGCACAAGGCAAACTGAAGAATAGGGGCAGCACTTCGGTAATTGCAGTCTTTAATCACCTTGGTTTCTAGTGCCCAGGAATTGACAAACTACGCTCGCGGTGCTAATGTCCCCATTGCTTATATGATTTTGGAAGTACTGTTCTCACAACTCTTTCGCCTTCCTCTTCCACCTCAACCAACTGGTTTTTACGGTAAAACTTTCTTTTATATTGGATTTTCCTTGTTCAGAAGTTGAATGTTTTGATATGGCTACCTAACGATCCAAAGCTTCGCCTCGAAGCTGTTTGGTTCCTTTTCAAAGAACTTCAAGTTCTAATTCTGTTACTGTTCATGTTTCTTTTTCTACTGATTAAAACTTGGAAACCTTCTCTGCAACTTTTGTTTTTAAGTGCCTTTCATTCTAAAAACCATTATTGGAAGTGTGTCATGACATTCCGTGGAATATTGCAGGTCCTGTTCTTTTGGATCTATGCAGAGTTCAGTCGTCGACTATGCCTCAAGTCCTGGCACAAGCTGCCGAACTCTTATATCAACGTGCTGCTACAATGCAACCGTTGTGCCTTGATCGGTAAGCACTTTTACGACCCGATTTTTTAAATACTGTATGTTCTGAATCTGGAGCTATTTTCGTTAAGTTTCTTGCCTAATAGTTGTAGTAGTAATTATGATGTCAAAACTTTTACGAGAGCTGTGACGTCCTAGGACATCCATTGTCCTCTTAGTTGGTAGGAAATTTGAATAAGCAACTTATTTTTGTACATGTTTTAGACTTGTTGACTGGTTCAGTTTCCATTTGTCTAATTTCGGTTTCCGCTGGTCATGGAATGATTGGAAGGACTGCGTAACGGTAAGCTAATATTTAGGCCGCTTTGACAGGCTATTTCTTATTTAATCTGATCTGGCTCTACAGGCGGATAGATGGGATGCAAAGAAAATATTTGCGCGTGAAGTGATAGAAAGATGTCGACGACTATCTTATTACGGGCAATTGAAGGAGTTTCTTCCAACCTCATTTGCTGCCATGATACCTCCTCCTCCAGATGTTGTATGCAAATTCGACGATGGTGCGTGTTTTTCTTTGGACTCTTAGTAGAAGTGCATCGACAAGGAATTGTCTTGAAAAGTCGGTTTCTGAACTCTGTTTCAGAGAATCAACCTGGGTATGAAGCTGCCTCTAAATTCCTTGCTCTCATACAAAGTCGATCTGATGACAATGCTATTATGGCCGAAATTCGCGACGAAGAAAATCGTTACGATCCCGATCTGTTTGGAATATTTTTTGCTGTCAGTTGGAACTAGCCATCGAATTTCGAGTCTTGGTCTTGTAACATGGTGTATTTCAGGTACTGCTGAAAACCTCTGCCAAGTCGTTCAGTCACACGTTTGTGGCCCTCTCCAGGTGCTAATGTCTACTGTATTTTTCATTTAGATTTGTGAGAATGATCCGTGTTTGTTGTTCAGATATAGCACGACATTGAAGACTATTGCTGATACTTCTGATGAAATGCAAGAAGTCCTTCTTTGCTGCCTTTTTCAGTGTTGGCGGAACAATCATTTGGTAAAGTTAATAGCTTTTCTGCTGTTCAATGAAATCCCTTGACTAACTCTGATGGTTTGTTTACAAATTTTAGCGTATAATCATTTTGGTCGACAAAATGCTCAAGATGCAAATATTGGATTGCGGTGTTGTTATTTCATGGATTTTCAGCGAGAGCCTTAAAAGTGAAACTGATAGGTGGGTCTTCAAACTTATTCTCCCCATCTTAAATAACGGTTCGGTTTTGCCGATTTGCCAGTTTTTCAGACAGTGGGTTTGGGAAGTGCTTAACACCGCGTTAGAACGTCTTTCTCGTCACATCCATAAAGTTGCTCATGACGTGGATATTCTTCAAAAAAGAGTGGAAAGGCAACGCATAGAAGCAGGCGAAGAGGTCAGTACAAAGCCAATGCGGCTCTTTGTCCACGCCAAAGGTTCTATTGAATAATATTTGAGATGGAAGACTCTGACGTAAAGACGCGTGAACAAGAGGAACTGGAACAGCAGCAGGAAAAGCTTGAGAATCTGAAAGATTTTCAGAAGTCGCTATTCCTGGACGTGTTGCATGTGAGTAGAATGGTTGGCGACCCTCCTTGTCATTAGATTATTTTTTGGTAGTGATGAGTGGTGCACGTTTTTTACACAAAATTAGTGTCGTTCAGTTCAGTTTCTTCAGAAATTCACGGTTTTGTTGACTGAATTCATAGTACACTGCGAAACAGAAGGAACAGATTTCCGAACTCCTTACTATGCATGGATTAATGGTCGATTCAAGCAAATATTCCTCATGGTGAGTGTTATTCCTCTGTTAATATTCCTCTTTTTTTTGTCTTTTACTTATTTGTTTCCCAATGCGGCTAATATCTGTAACCGCTACTTGTCATATTTTTACCCGACTTGGGGTATTTTTTTGTATTGATGAATATAAATAATGATACTGATGTTGGAATTGGAAAGCTTTCCTCTCAATACTGAGATTTCGATGTACTTGATTGGCAACGCTTAGATATTTGCTACGTTAATCTCTTTCTTTTTCGATGCGATTCTTCCACGCTTTCCTTACAGTAATACGTTACCTACTGCTGTCAACCTCTAGATAACCCTTGATGAAACCATCTTCTTTCATCTGTTCATGATACGCTAAATTTTGGCGTTTCCAATCGCCTTTCTCCTTAGAACCTTCTCTGATTACTAAATAAGGTCATATCAACTAAAGTGAGATCTTGAGTGGGTAACGTTGTAGAGTTTCGAACATGGAGTTATTGTTTCAGCACGGCGCCGATCTCCACGAGTTCACTGATGATCTCCGGCGGGAACTGTTCTCCAGCACCGATATCGATCCCAATGTTTTGGAGACATTCCATCAGTTTGTAGCTCTCCGTGAGTGAAATGCTGTACTTCACAGTTTGTTCGTATTAATGATATACCCTATGATTTGTTGATTTCTTTGGTTTGTCTGTATGTTTGCAGTATATCTTTCGGGCTATTTTTCCGTTGTGGCCCTCAATTGTTGATTTTTTTGGACATTTACTCTGTATCTAAATGTTTCTTTAGGAGCTCTCTTATTATAAACGGCAACTTAACATTTCATATGAATTTGTGTACTTTTCTGTTACTGAAGACGTGTATTTTGCTTGATTCTTGGTGTTATGAAGATGAATGGACTTGTAGAAAGTGATTGTTGGAGGAAGAGGATAGTTAGATTGTATATCGCATTGAGCTCGATTTCATGCCTGTATCCTGTAGGAAACATCATCGCCTCATGCCAAGGTTTTTAGCCACCGCGGAAAGCAGTGCATGAAAGTCAAACTGCCGCTTTCACGTGCAATATTCCATGAAGGCTTCTTACCCAAGACGTAGTAAGAGTGCTTGATGTTACTCGGTAAGAGCTCATTTTTGTGATATCCGTTGCTTGTTTACCTTCTTTTTCTATGTAGCTCATGGAAACGGGAGGATATGAACAGGGGCAGTGAACGCTTGGATGGGGATTTAGTCGACATTACAATAAGTATGACTAAGAAGTTTAAGTGGAAAGGCAGCAATAGTCCCTGATATAGCCTGGGAACTTTTGTAGTCGTGATATTGGTGGAACAGAGAAGACGCGGTGAGCGAGGTTCCGTTAATCTCAACAGCACGGTTCAGTGAGATCAGATCTTGGCCACGTTAACAATGCCATTCATCACATTTACAGTCATGCAATTGACATCAAAGACTGTTGGGACGGGCTGGGGGCCACGTGTCTCGACACTACCTACTCTCCAAGTTCCCAGTGCTTTAAAAATGAATCAGAGCGAGTTTTAATAGAAGTTGAATTGCTCGTATTTGATAATCAGATCGACCAGGGATATGACTTCTTTCCTCTGAGGTCTATTATGTGCGAGTTTATGGGATCATTTTTTATTTGTTTGTGTTCGAGATACTTCAACCAATTGCATGTAGCAATGTGTATCCGAAACTAATTCATTACTCATCTTGTTCTCGCGGCTGTCCGTAATGAATTGCCGAGAGTTCCATGTCATGTTCCTCGTTGACAACCGCCTCTGACGCCGCCTTTTTCTCTTGCACTTCGTTTCATTTGTATGTATGCATTACTAGTAACGGCGTTTGGTGCTCGACTGAATCTACGAACTACTATTTAATCTTCACTCAGGAGTTGATGAACTAATTTTCTCAAAAACATCTGAATATCTTTTCGCAGCCATCCATCTCTTCTCCTTCACGATTCCAGTCTTCTTCTTATAGAATGAGAAGTGAAAAGTCATAGCACTACAAGTTATTGAGCAGGAAAAGAACTGGCAAAAACAATTCCAAGTTTAGACGATAGCCTCTCCTTAGCGAGTTCCAGGGCGCGTATGAGCTCTGTATTATTCTCATCAGGCTTCTTCTTCGGTTTAACCCTGCGATTTATGGCGGAGTGGGGATCTTAGTCCTGCGTTTCGTCTTGTACGCGCCTAGTTATTCCACTCTTCCAACTGTAAAAACACAGGGCAGAGGATGAATAGCTGCAAATAATTTTTGCACTGTTGCTTACATGGTCCACGTACCAAGGACCAGTTGCATTCGATGACGTCTTTCATTCTCCCGGGGGGTCGACTATTTGGCATCAGGTTTCTCTAGGAGAGCAACAGCGATAATTTCCCTGTCAGCTGCTCCAGTGTTACTTTGCAGCATGCACTCATTATATTTTTAAGAGTGGAATCCTCAAATGAGGCGTGGCGCTACCAATTGTCCTTAACAATAACAATACCACTGCTATTTATTAATGTGCAAAAGTGGTGTGAAGGTAAGTGGCGCACTATCCCACTCGCATGGTCATGGGTTCGAGTTCTGGGTCAATATCTGTCTAGGCCAACCACGCGTTCCATCCACCAGGATCCCACTATTTGGAACTAGACTCGTCTGAGAGGATAGAAGTACTGACCTGTACATTGGGTGGCCACCACAGTCATTGTATAGGCCTCATACGCATTCATTACGCCACTACGATTCTGAATGGGAGCCGTATGCGGAGTGCATACCCAGACTGGGTTGATTAACGTCAAGAGTCTTTATCCTTTTCATCCTTCGTTCGCAGTCCAAGAAGGACTCAATCAAGGAGAGAATCTACTTCAACAGTGACATGACCGTTAGATTGATTCAAATGACCATGTCTGACTCAGGAAACATTTAGCTAACCATGCAAAATGGTCCTCTGCAAACTCCTATCTACAGGCACTCTGGATGATAAATCTCGTCAATCCTATAAACAGAGTGAGAAGTTCTCCACTCTCAAGAGTTCGCATTAGAAATCATCTACTGTCTCGATGCTTGCGAAGAAGTGATAGTTCTCTTGTAGAGCACCAATGCATCGAAAGTAAGAACACCCACATGATGTGCGAATGGGGTACGATTGGTAGACCAAAACCAGGGAGAGACGGCTGGGAAGCCTAGTGAAATTTTCAAAAAAAAAACATGTGCGATGAGGGGTGGGGAGAATGATTATACCTGAAGGAAAACTTTTTCGAACAAATCTAGTGTAAATACTTGAGAATAGGTAGTGTAAATGTCTAGAGAGTGTGTTGGATCTTTTTCAGATGGGCTCTTTGCTAAGGTACAGAATGGATGAAAGACTAAATGGTGCGGAGATGGGAAAGTTCTGGAAGCAAAACACATAAAAGGTGGCTGTTGGTTCTGTTCTCAATCGAGATGGTTGTCCAGACGACGAGCTGGGAAGGGACCTAGACACAAGCGAATATATAAGGCTCAGTTAACGCCATATAAGTTAAGGGATAAAGTTTTTGGCGTTAATCGATTCCGTCTGAGGGATGCGCCNCCAGCCGATTAGAAGTCAGTGCTTTTATCCTCCCAGACGAGTCTGGTACCAATTCACCGGCCGCGGAGGGTTGGAAGGCTTGGTTAGCCTAGGCGGGCATCGATCGGGGATTCGAACCCCTGACCGTGCATGTGATATAGTGCGCCACTTGTCACTACACCACCTCCGCCGAATCCAGTTAAGGTTTTCAACGTCATATATGACCTGAAAATGACATCAAAAGCGCTCAAAGTCCCCAGTACCATTTCAGCATTGCTGAGTGAAATTAGCAGTGTAATTAGCATACCTTAATACATATTGTGCCACCTATAAACCGTATTCTGCCGTGACGGCGCCATATATTGACCTGTCGGGGCTCGTGTAGGTGTTCGGACAGCAAACTTTTCTACATCGCCATCCGAACCACATGCATGTACATTGAGCACTCTACTAAACTTCATCTGTAACTGGACAAAACCTTCTCGAAAAGTATTTAGCTGGAATGACGTTTTGCAGTTTTTCGAGGGCTTCAAGGTCAACAATCACATGGCAGCTGGCTTGAACGGATTGCAATTTTCAGGCAGAAACAGATACCAAGGGAACCGGATGATCTAAACTGTGCGAGTCTAGTGATCTGTCCATTGCATGTGTTGATAGAGAACGTTTTTTTTTCTTTGCACCTTCGCTCGGAGAGATAAAATCTCGCCAACTTCGGTAGGGAAACTATTTATATCTATTATATGGGATTTGGAGGGTTTCACTCAGAAATATAGCGATTGCTAAAGCGAAATCGCTTTCAAAGCGTACATTTCATTCCCTTTTTGGGCATTTTTTTTTCTTTAAAGAAAGCTCGGGAAAACAGTGTTCAGAGGATAAAAGGTGATTTCCAGGGCGTCGATCAATCCCATAAGAGGAATGTGTCCCGTAGTCGACTCCCATCCTGAATAGTGGTGGAGTATTGAATGCGTACGTGACGGATCAGTGACGTGCGGTGGCGAGCCGATGTTCAAGTCAACGCTTTGATCCTCCCAGACGAGTCTGGTACCAAATTGCCGGCCCCAGAGGGATGGAAGGCTTGGTTGGTTCAGGCGGATATCGATCCGGGATTCGAACCCGTGACCATGCGTGCGTGATAATGTGCCACTTGCTCTACCACCACCTCCGCCCAATACTGTGTTTACTTGTAACACACTTTAGGGTTCATTTTAATATAAAATTTCCGGTAAATTTATCTTTGGCTTCTGTCTGTATAACATCAGAATGGTATTCGTTACTCAATTTCCTTAAATGATGAGATGCACGATGTCACAATTTCTTGTTTCTTCATCAACACATTGAGCTTGGCCCGTGACTACGTTCATTCACAAGCTAGCTACTGTATGACTTTTTAGTTGTCCGAAAGTCAATCCTATTTCAAAAGACATGTAAAATGGAAAAGGAATTAGATTAATGACAAAGCCATCTCACGTGTTCCGGAAACATAAGACGGAAATCCGGGCCTCCGAGCTATATTGGGGCAATTCCATCTATCGCCATGGTGATAAGTAGCTTATAACGTTCAAGGGCTTTTTACCTTTCTGAAGCCTTTGAGCTCAGATTTGTCCCCATTCCAGAAATAAAGTGTCTTGGGTCGTTTTCCTAGGCTGCATGCGAATTATACGAGCTACTCTCGTCCACTTTACTTTCTGCCGTTCTGCTTAATTTGCATGTTGCTAGCCGGCTTTGCTCAGCTTGACACCACCTGCTACACCGAGCTCTCACTTTTCACGAGCTCTGTTCTTCCAGTACTCTCTGTTTTGTCGAATCTGGGCTTTTCACGTATATCGACCGCTTTTCAAGGTTCTGTATAGGTAAATTCCTTCACGTTGTGCTGTTTTTCCTTACCACTTCCTCGCTGAACTAGTCGTGCTGCTATGGTTAGTCAGCTTGTGGACAGTGAACGCTTTGCCCTCAGGCTGGGGCATAATTGTGCGGCATCGACTGCAATAGTTTCGAAAACTGATGTCAAGTGGTTCAGTTTCGCTGATTTTTGTCACAGGCCATGTTCGTGATTAAAGCCCTCGAGGGAACCCCAAAAAAAGAACGAGGAAGCTTTCC